AAATTGAGGACTACCAATATTGGGGTTCATAAAAAGTCAATGATATTTATTTATGTATAGCACCTATGGAGTACAACTGATTTTGCTTCAAGAAATTCCAGCAGCGTAGAATCAAGGTATATGTACTGTGCTAGATAAAAGATCGTAAAGATTATAAACTGTTTCTCAAAAATTGCACAGAATCTTTGATGTATATTTTGGAGTCAATTCCATATTTCAATCTCTTTTTAGTCAGTCAATATATGTGTTAAAAAAGTAGACAATTTGAAGTCATTTTTGCTGGAAGGTTTTCTTTCTCCATAACAATTTTGTTAGAGTTTCTTTAACCTCTTTATTTCTAAGGGAATATATCAGTGGATTAAGTATTGGGATTACCACAGAGTAAATTATAGCAATATTCTTGTATTCTTCTTCATCATTGGGAGAGGATGGCTTACCATATATGTACATAAGTGTAGAATAATAAACACCTATTACTAGTAGATGGGAGGAACAAGTAGAGAATGCTTTTTTCTTCCCTTTGACTGATTGGATCTTCATGACAGTTCTCAAAATAAGTAAATAAGATGTTAGTGTAGGAATACAGCCACTCATTGTAAAGGTCACATCAGCTGCCAATGACATAATTTCATTCAGGCTGATGTCAGAGCAAGACAGTTTCCACAATGGATGCAGTTCACAGAAAAAATGGTTGATATCTTTAGAGTCACAGAAAGACAACCTTAGCAATAGGCCAGCATTAACTGCAGAACTAGCCATTCCTACAACCCAGGCTCCAGTGGCTAAGCCGATGCATACTTCTTTCTTCATAATGATCATGTAATGTAGTGGCTGGCAAATAGCAGCATACCGATCAAAAGCCATAATGGAAAGTAAGAGAATCTCTGTCCCCAGTGTCCAAAGTGAAAGAAAAACTTGAGTAAGACATCCTGAAAATGAGATGGTCTTTTTTTGGCTCAAAATGTTCTGAAGCATTTTGGGAACTGACACAGAGATAGTGCAAACATTGGCAATGGAAAGATTGATCAAAAGGAAGTACATAGGTGTGTGGAGTTTGCTACAAATGCTGATGGCAAGAATCAGGAGATAGTTGCTAGACAAAGCTGTTGCATACATGAGAGCAAATATCCAAAAGATGAGCATCTGATGTCTAGGTGTACTGGACAAACCCAACAAACTGAACTTAGTTTTATAAACAGCACTTTGGTTATTAATTTCCATGGTTCTGCTGCTGTTTACCTAAATTAGATTTTTAAAAAAGTTAATTTGGGATAGCTTTCATTCAAGGGTATTCTTGTAATGGAATCTGATGGACTTATAGTTCATCATTCAGTGAAACAATAGTACAAAGTCTATGTTGCAACTAAAGAGAAAATGCATTGTATTTCTTAGTAAATATATATTAATAAGCAGCAAAACTGTATTTCTGGGCAAGCTGAATAAGACTGCTAGGAGTTATAAATGAACAACATTTAGAACATGAGATCTTCTAGTCCAGCTCCCTGCTCAAGGAGGGATCATACTATCCCTCCTTATCAAGTATCAAGGAGCCTCATACTATCCCAGTCAAATTATTTTTCAATCTATTTTTGAACCTCCTGTGATGGAGTATCCAAAACTCTACAAGTCAAACCATTCTACTGATTATTCCACTGTCAGAAAATTTCTCCTTACTTCTAGGCTGGATCTTACTTCACCAAGGTTTCACACAATACTTCTTGTTCTACCAGCTGCTGCTTTGTATAATAAGGCAATTCCCTCATTTTTGTGATAGCTCTCAGTACTGGAAGACAGCTATCATATTCCTTGAAATCCATCTTTTTGATACTCTGGATCAGGGTTGAAATGCTACCCGTTCACTCTAGTTCGGGTGAACTAGTAGTGGTAAAAACTACTGGTTCGGATGAATCAGTAATAAAAAAATACTTTAAGACAGTAAAAAAAATATTCTGACGATCACGCAGCACAGCTGTGATCCTCTAAAAGTTGTTTTTTTTTTACTTTTTTAAAGCATTTTTTTACTACCAGTTCGAATGAATAAGTAGTAAAAAATGCTTTAAAGGGGTGGGGGTGGGTGGGAATTGGCCATGCCCACCCAGTCACATGACCCCTCACCAAGCCATGACCACCAAGCCATGCCCACAGAACTGGTAGGAAAGAATTTTACATTTCACCACTGCTCTGGACATACGTAGTTCCCTCAACCATTCATCATATGATTGTTCTTCTCAGCACACTGAGCTGTTGAGCATTTTCCAGGGTCTCAACATTTTTTTCTCTATTATTGTGACCACAACTGAATGCAATATTCCAAGTGTTTGAAGTACCACTATTTTTTTATCCCACTTCATATACTGTAAAATAATGTCTGATTATATTCTTTGAAAGTTAGTTCAGAACTTTTGAATCATTTACTATATTTTTTTAACATAATTTTGGAACATATGAAACACATATTTTCATACTTCACAAAAACCACAAAACCATCTCTAAGGCATTTTGTTCTAATTTCTACTGTCTCTTACTATTTATATTTTCTTTTGCAATATATACTTTGAAAACAGCATGAGTCTTAACAGTAATATTCTAAATAATATATTAACATATAATCTTACTATCAGGAACCTGGAGAAGCAAGAATGATTAAATGGATTGGAAAATGAAGCCCATTATTAATGACTTCTACTATCAATTCTTTAAAAGATGAGGACTGAGGTTTTTTGATCATTTTATTGGAGCCCCCTTCCCCCTCAGTATATAATAATTGCACAAGGCAATCACAATAGTCAAGGAATATCCTACTGTGTTTCATGACTTATGTCATGAAAATCTTTTGAAAATCTTGTTTCCATTGCAATTTAGAACAGAGGTTATATTCAGTGGGATTAACTTCTGAATCTATAAAGTACATACAGGAGGAGCCTGAGTGGCGTAGGAGGCTAATGCCTCCTACTAAGGCAGCATTTAACATCCAACTGCCTGCAATTACTGCGAGTTCAATTCTCACCAGGCTCAAGGTCGACTCAGCCTTCCATCCTTTCTAAGGTGGGTAAAATGAGGACCTGGTTTGTGGGGGCAATAAGCTGACTTTGTATAAAATATACAAAAGTATGAAGGCTATTGCTTAACGCATTGTAAGCCGCCCTGAGTCTCCGGAGAAGGGCGGCATGTAAAAATAAATAAATAAATAAAAAATACAAATTTAACAGACGGCCCACCTGTTGTTTGTCCTTGTCTGGGTTCAGAGGCTAAACAGTTGGATTTGGTTAGAATCCAAATGAGAGATCATTGATGAATAACAAGGAATGAGTGGGTTGAAATAGCATCCCAGAGGCAGTGAAGGAAAACCACTTCAGTATTGATGTCAAGGAAATTATTCATGAAGAAATTAGGACTTTAGTTAAATTAGAATGTTCATATATTGATTCAAAAATTGATAGGGGAATTATTTTGTACATTCCATGTTATAGTAATGTATTGTGGGATTACCGGATTCTAACTGAGAATGATATGAAATTCACAACTCTTTGTTTATATTTTTGGAAGTAATCCCATGGATCTCAGAGACACCTACCAAAAATAAGACTAGGTCTTATTTCCTTTTGGGCACCAAAATAAGCAGTAGGGCTTATTGTTGGGGTGTCTTATTTTTTTCCCCATGTACAGGAGGCCCACTTCTTCTGCTTGCTCATGGCAGGGCAGAAGGCTGCATGGTGTATCAGTGCCACTGCCATGAGGCAGGGGACTGCACCTTCCCCATGCGCCCCACACTGGCTTACCTCAGGGCCCCCGCAGCCAGGCCATCCATGCTCTGACATCTGCCTTGTTTTGTTGCTTCAGCACCAACACACCAGTCAGCCTCCTGCTCCATTACTGCTTTGTGAGCAAGCAGAAAAAGTAGGCCAGTGGTCACATGGGGTCCTGGTGCACATGGCTGTTGGTGCTGCCACTGTGAGGCAGGTGTAGGGGCATGGATGGGCTGGCTGCAGGGGCCCTGAAGCAAGCTGGTGCGGGGTGTGTAGGACAGCTCCATCACCAGCCTGCCTTGCCTTGTGGCTGTGGCTCTTTAGTAAGGCTTATTTTGGGGGTTAGGGCTTATATTAGGTGCAGACATAAAACATGCTAGGGCTTATTTTTGGGATTGGTCTTATTTTCGGGGACATGGGGTATTTTGAATTACATAGTTATAGTCTCCTGGCTACTTATTTTGTTGTGCACAACCCAGAGTAACATTGTTTGAATTAGGTGTTCATATTAATGCTTGCAATAAACAAACAATTGCCTAAACAAATTTTCTCTCAACTGGAATTTGAAAGCATTCCATCAATTCCTGAATTTATTTCAAGATTTCTCATGTATGATCTACTGAAAATACATCCCACAATTAATAAATAAATAGGGAAGAATTAATTCTCACCTCAGTTATGCTCTTTGATGCTTAAAATATGATTGAAGAAACAAGATGCAACATTAATTATCCTTGTTCAAAGAAAAATGATTTCACAGTTACCCAGCATAAAAATGAAAGGACTAAAGTACTCCTTGATCATAGTATTTCCAAGACAGTCTAGAAGCATCTTAAGAAGTATGTCATGAATTGTATAAAGTGTTCTCTTAAACACTTTGCAATTCATTGGTGAATACTCAGTGGGAGACACAATAAGCTCCCACAGTGTCTTTTCTTAAGATAATTGCTTTGTTCCTTTGAAACCTGTGCATAACACAATTCTCCTCTTTGTCCTCTCCATTTTAGTACCTTCTCACTCTCCAGGATATGCGGAATTTCATTGCCTCCACTGCTGACATGAATGATGTGGGCCTGTTCCATAGAGGTGAGACTGGCAGCCACTTTAACCCACAAAAAGGATTGTAACAGTAGCCATTCTAGGAGTCCTGCATTGATTCACCTTACACCGGTTGAGGTTTTTGAATGCTCTTTAAGCAGAGTCCTATGTAGAGCACAATGCAGTAGTCCAAGCATCAGATTACAAGGTATCATCCCAATTTTCCCATTCCTGCTTGCCCTTTCTTCATAGAGAATGTAGCTATAAAGAGAACATTACTTATATTTAAGTAAACGTCACTTTACTGGACTTTGTCAGTTTCCCAATAATGCAAAAACTTCTACAGGTGATCCATCACTTACAACAATTTGTTTCATTGCCATTCAAAGTTACAACAGCACTGGGAAAAAAAAGTGACTTACAAACACTCCTCACACAAAAACCTAACACGGCATCCTTACAGTCATGTGATCAAAATTCAGGTACTTTGGCAACCAGAATGTATTTATAATAGATGCAGGATCCTGTGGTCATGTGTTCATTATTTGCAACCTTCCCAGCTGGCTTCCAACATGCAAAGTCAATGGGAGAATGGAGATTTGTTCAACAATTATATGATTCACTTAACAACTGCCTTGCTTAGCAATGTAAATTCTGGTTCCAACTGTGGTCATACATCAAGGACTACATGTACTGGATTTCATTAAAAAACAAACAAATCTGAAACAGAGAATATATTAAGATGTCAAAGCACACAGTCCATGATAACTGTTATTTAATTAAATTTAATTAAATTTAATTAATTTAATTTATATGCCGCCCCTCTCCAAAGACTCAGGGCGGCTCACAATACATTTTAAAAAAAATCATTATAAAAAACATTTAAAATTAAAAACATTAAAAACTCATTCACACCATTCATGGCCAGATCTCACCAGATCACAAGAGCGAGATCAACAGCCCCAGGCCTGCCGGAAAAACCAGGTCTTCACCGCTTTTCGGAAGGCCAATAGGGTGGGGATGGTCCGGACCTCAGGAGGTAACTGATTCCAGAGAGCTGGGGCAGCCACAGAGAAGGCCCTCCCCCGTGGGCCTGCCAGCCAGCATTGTTTAGCTGATGGGACCCAGAGGAGACCAACTCTGTGGGATCTTACCGGTCGCTGGGAGCTATGTGGCAGAAGGAAGTCTCGAAGATAACCTGGCCCTAGGGCTTTAAAGGTAATAACCAACACCTTGAATTGTGACTGGAGACCAATAGGGAGCCAGTGCAGCTCGTGGAGAATTGGTGTAATGTGGGTGTACCTAGGTGCACCCACGACAGCTCGCACAGTTGCATTCTAGACTAACTGTAGTCTCTGAACACTTTTCAAGGGTAGCCCAATGTAGAGCAATAATCTAACCGTGAGGTGACAAGGGCATGAGTGACTGTGAGGAGAGCCTCCTGATCCAAGTAGGGTCGCAATTGGTGCACCAGACGAATCTGTGCAAAGGTCCCCCTAACCACAGCTTTCATATGTTGCTCTAATCTTAGCTGTGAGTCTAGGAGGACACCCAAATTGCGAGCCTGTTCTAAGGGGACAATTTCTCCCCCCCCCCAGAACCAAAGATGGACAATCAACATAATCTTTAGGAGGCAATACCCACAGCCACTTGGTCTTGTCTGGATTAAGTCTGAGCCTGTTGACTGCCATCCAGACCCTCACAGCCTCCAGGCACTGGCACATCGCATCCACCGCACTGAATTGACATGGAGTAGAGATATACAGCTGGGTATCATCCGTGTATTGCTGATATCTCACCCCGTGTCGTCGGGTGATCTCACCCAGCAGCTTCATGTAGATGTTAAATAGGAGGGGATAGAGGATCGAGCCCTGAGGCATCCCGCAAATGAGGGGTTGATGTCTGTCCTCCTACCAACCGACTGTGACCGACCAGAGAGATAGGAGGAGAACCACCATAACACGGTGTCTCCCACTCCCAGCTCCCTTAGTTGTTGCAGAAGGATGCCATGGTCAATGGTATCAAAAGCCACTGAGAGGTCAAATAGTACCAAGATGGAGGAATGACCCCCATCTTGGGCTTGCCAGAGATCATCCATCAGCATGACCAAAGCAGTTTCCATACTGTAGCCAGGCCTGAAGCCAGACTGAAAAGGGTCTAGATAATCCGTTTCCTCCAAGGAAACGCAGGAGCTGAAGTGCCACCACTTTCTCTACAACCTTTCCCACAAAGGGTAGGTTGGAGACTGGATGAAAGTTCTTTAATTCTGCTGGATCCAGGGAAGGCTTCTTGAGGAGGGGCCTTACAACCGCTTCCTTTAATGTATGTATTCCGTATGTATGTAATGTATTCCATTATGTATAACATCTATGGAACTTTGATGTTGCCATGTTCTCAAAAATTCCAGTAGCAAGGTATATATGGAGTGCCAGAGAAAAAGATCATATAATATTTCTGAAAATTGCACAGAAATAGAATATTTACTTATCTACTTCAGAGTCAGTTCTATGTTTCAACCTCTTTTTAGCCAACCAATATATGTATTAAGGAAGTGGACAAATTCAACTCATTTTTGTTGGAAGGTTTTCTTTCTCCATAGCAATTTTATTAGAGTCTCTTTAACTTCTTTATTTCTAAGGGAATATATCATTGGATTGAGCACTGGGGTTACAACAGAGTAAATTATGGCAATATTCTTGTATTCTTCTTCATCATTGGCAGAGGAAGGCTTAGCATATGTATAGATAATGGTAGAAAAGTAAAAACTTACTATTAGCAGATGGGAGGAACAAGTAGAAAATGCTTTCTTCTTCCCTTTGACTGATTGGATCTTCATGATAGTTCTCAAAATAAGTAAATAAGATATTAGTGTAAGTGTACAGCTACTCATTGTAAAGGTCACATCAGCTGCAAATGCCATTATTTCATTCAGGCTGATGTCAGAGCAAGACAGTTTCCATAGTGAAGGCAGGTCACAGAAAAAATGATTGATATCTTCAGAGTCACAGAAAGACAACCTTAGCAAAAGGCTAGCATGTACTACAGAGTTGGCCATTCCTACAACCCAGGCTCCAGTGACTATTCCAACACACACCTCTTTCTTCATAATGATCATGTAATGTAGTGGCTGGCAAATAGCAGCATACCGATCAAAAGCCATAAAGGAAAGTAAGAGAATCTCTGTCCCCAGAGCCCAGCCAAAAAGAAACATTTGAACAATGCAACCTGAAAAAGAGATGGTCCTTTTTTGATCCATAATATTCTGAAGCATTTTGGGAATAGTTATAGAGATAGAACACAAATTCACCACAGAGAGATTGACCAAAAGAAAGTACATAGGTGTGTGGAGTTTGCTACAAATGCCAATGGCAAGAATCAGGAGGAAGTTACCAGCCAAAGCTGATACATACATGAAAGTAAATATCCAAAATAAGAGCATCTGATGTCCAGGTGTAGTGGACAAACCCAAGAGCCTGAACGTAGTTTTATAAATAGCACTTTGGTTAAATTCCATGACTTCACTTCTGTTTACCTAAATTAAATAAAAAAGTTAATTTTTAACTTTATCATATTGTCACTCAAAAAAATTCAATATGTTGAATTTGTTTATGGAACATCATACACAGAAACTATTGTATTTCTTGATGAATATATATTATTAGGCAGCAAAACTGCATTTCTGGATATGTTGATGAAATTGGTTGGAGTTGTAATTGAATAACATTTGAAGGACCACATCTCTTTATGCCAGTTTATATAAAAAAACATGACTGATTATATTACTTAAAAGCTAGCAGAGAATTTTAAAATCACTTAGTATCATTTTTAGATATAAAATATCTAAATAATGATATTTATGAGGCAAATGGTCCTCTTTTCTATCCTATCCTATCCTATCAGACCACAAAGGCACAAAACCATCTCTAAAACATTTTACTGTAATTCTTATTGTCTTCTTTGCTATTTATATCTTTTTTCAACATTAATTGTAAAGTAGGATTATTCTTAATAGTAACTATCCTAAACATATATTAATAAGACATCATATTATCAAGATGTTGGAGAGCAAGAATCTTGTCTTTTTAGGTACACTGAGAGCATATGCACCAAAGACAAATTCCTTGTGTTTCCAATCACACTTGGCCAATAAAGAATTCTGTTCTGTTCTGTTCTGTTCTGTATTCTATTCTATTCTATTCTATTCTATTCTATTCTATTCTATTCTAAATAGACTGACTTCTACTATCAATTCTTCAAAAGAAAAGAAAGATTGTAAAAATAACTTTATTGGATTTTTTCCCAGTAAATATTATCAATTGCACAGGGCAATTACAATAATAGAAATATCCCATTGTGTGTCATGTCTTATTTCCTTTTGAAAATCTTGTTTCCATTGCAATTTAGGTTATACTCTTTGGGATTAATTTGTGAAACTATAAAGTACATACAAACTTAGCAGATGGCCTACCTTCTCTCGTTCAAATACTTAGGGGGATTGGATCTGGTTAGAACCTGAAGGAGAGACCCTAAGTGAAGACCAGCAAATGGGCGAGTTGAAATTGTATCCCATAGATAGTAATAGAACAATGCATAGGTATTTTTGGCAAGGAAATTATTCATGAAGAAATTAAGAGTTAAACTCATTGAATTGGTTCAAAATGTAAGAAAAAAATTGATGGGAATTATTTTTGTATTTTCTATGTCATAATAATTAATTATGGAATTATCAGGTTCTCACTGAGAACAGTATTAAATCCACAATCCTTTATTTATACTGTTGGAAATAATCCGATAGATCTCCCAACCAGCTATAGTCTCCTGACTGCTTACTTTTTGTTTTGTACCTAGACTAACATTGTTTAAGTTAACACTGTTGTATTACTGCTTGCAATAAATCCTATGTGAATTAATTTTCTCTCAAATGGAATATGAAAGTATTCTATCAATTACTGAATTATTTTCAATGTTAATCATGAAGGATTTACTGCAAAGTGCATTCCATGATATATAGGTGGAAGTCTATAAGGAAGGAACGTAAATTCTACCTCGCTTCTGCTTTTTGATGCCTAAAATATGATTAAGTAAAATAAATTAAAAAGATTTCATAGTTACCCTGCGTAAAAGGGCTAAAGTACTTCTTGATCATAGTACAGCAAGGGCAGTTCAGAAGCATCTTAAGAAATATGTCATGAATCATATAAAGTGTTCCTTTAAAGACTACTTTTAACTCACTGGGGAATACTCATTGGGAAACATAATAAGGTCCCATAGCACCTTCCCTAACATAATTGCCATATTTGTAGAAACTTATGCCCAACACAATCCTTCTCCTTTTCCTTCTTCTCTGAGTTTTAATAACCTCTCACTCTCCAGGACAGTTAGCATTTGAGAGCTTCTCTTTGTTATATTTGGCATTTTTGAAAATTTAAGTATTGGAAAGGGAGAAAGACCCTAACTTTTAACTCTTAAAAATATTTGTTCCAGAGGCTTCTCAACATGTTGCTACAATATCAAAGACATCTTCCAGTCTCCAGATCTCCAGAAGATTAAGAGGAACACTTCTGTTCCCCTTTAAGCATTGTTAATCACTGCTGCTAAATCAAATATAGTGTCTACTAGGATTGCAAAAAAAAAGATTCAGAAGTAGTTTCTTAGGTATTGAAAAGCAAAGAGTTGCCCCTCACCTAATTCATTAAGATTTCTCTTCAGTACTCTGAAAAATCTTCCACCACTGCATGAATTTTAATATGTAAATGTATTAAATAACTGTAACATATTTGTTAACATCTCAATTATTTGTCATATAATTTAGCATTCAGAATTTTGACCATCTTTGTTGCTCTTCTCTGCACAATTTCTAGGATCTCAACATTTTTTTGTATCATGGTGACAAGAAATGGACACAGTATTATACGTGTGGCCTTTCTCCTTTCTGCTCCTCCTCCTCCCCCTCCCCTTCCTCCCCCTCCCCATTCTCATTCCCCCTTCCCCTTCTCATTCCCTTTGCCCTCCTCCTCCGCCTCCTCCATTTTAATATCTCTCACTCTTCATTTTCTATACACACATACACTCTACTGTTCTAGCTGTGTTGCATGCCACCCAGAATTGCTGTTTGTGAGATATATAAATTTGGTGTAATAAATAATAAACATATGAACTTTTTACAGTGTCTTAACAGTCTCCCTGCCTCTTTCCCACATTCAGTGGACTAGTTTGGGATGTTTACTTTGAAAGACACTCTTGGAGTGCTTTCAGTTTAAAGAGGGAGATGGAAACAGTGAAAATTACGCTTTTCTGAGCTTCATCAAAATCCATAACTTTAGGGCTCTTTTCTTTTTCTTTTTTGCGAAATTGTAGTCTGTCATTTCTGTTAGATTCCACTAACTTCATACATGAGGCGAGAGAAGTAAGCAAGAGAACTGTTTATTATTAACAACTTGAACCAACCAAAACAGAGAACCCTTTATCAGGGGCTGACAGCTCTTTTATACCCGAGCCGTCGGTCCTATAACCAATCAGATAACTCTAAACTCCCATGTTATTGTCAGCCCCGCCCCTTAACCAATCACCAGGCAGCGTCCCCGTTGCTGGGTTGCCGCCGAGACACAGTACTCCTTCACCCCCGGATGGAACATACATAATCTTTAAGATATTCCGGGCGCCTGTGTACTCTAGAAGAACGCCGGAGCACGGGAGCGGCTTCCCCCCCGATGGTTTGGGCCCAGAAGGTGGCGCTGTCGGTACTGCATTCCGGCTGTCCATGGAATTGGCTGACTCAGGTGAGTGCTGAAACGGTGGGTTGTTGGGTGGGGCAAGGATCTGTGAGTTGCTCAAGTGCAGAAACGGTGGGTGGTTGGGTGGGGCAGGGATCTGTGAGTTGCTCAAGTGCAGAAACGGTGGGTGGTTGGGTGGGGCAGGGATCTGTGAGTTGCTCAGTGAAAACGGGTCGAGAGAGGGGCTGTGTGGTGGTGCCAGCTGCTGGACACCCTCATCCGATACCCACGGGTGGGTCTCGCATCGTCGTCTCAGTTGGTCCATGTGCTGGCGACATGAGCAGCCGTCAGTCAGTATAATCCTGTAAGAACAGGGGCCGGTTATTTCAGTTACTCGTCCCGGCAGCCACCGTGGGTCGCCCCCAAAGTTTTTTGCAAGGACAAGGTCCCCCTCCTTAAATGCCCTGATGCTCGCACTGGCGCCTAGATACTGTTCAGGAGCATAGGTGGGGTGTAAACGATCTAGTACTGTTCTCAGCCACCGACCCATTAATACTTCCGCAGGGGTTCTGTGGGTGAGCGGGCATGGTGTCGTATGTTGTGAGGACAAATAGATGGCTATCTTCTCGTCCCAGTCCCCAGGGGACAAACGGGCCAACGCGTCCTTAGCGGATCGCACGGCCCATTCAGCCAATCCATTTCCAGCCGGGTGGTAAGGGGCAACAGGTGCGTGGCGGATTCCCAGACTAGGAAGGAAAACCTGAAATGTAGCGGAGGTGAACTGCGGCCCATTGTCGGACACCACCACGTCTGGAATGCCGTGAGTGGCAAACAGCCGACGTAGGACCTGGACCGTGGCCTCAGAGGTGGTGGAGGGCATGAGTTCCAACTCTACCCACTTGGATAGGGCATCAACTACAATCAAAAAGGACCGACCCATGTAGGGACCAGCAAAATCAACGTGCAGTCTAGACCAGGGTCCCCTGGGTATTTCCCACTCCTGGGGACGGGCGGATGGTGCTGCCGGTCTGGACAGCTGACAACTGCGGCATCCCGCCACCCACTCGGTGATCTCCCGGTCAAGTGAGGGCCACCACACATAACTCCGCCCCACTTCTTTCATGTGCACCACACCGGGATGCCCCGTGTGCAGACTCGCCAGGACTTCGGTCCTGAGGGATGGAGGTACCACGACACGATTACCCCATAAGAGACAACCCAGGTGGACAGACAGCTCGTGTTGCCGGGCTTGGTATGGGACAAACTGGATAGGAACTTGCCCCAAAGGCCACCCCTTACTGACCCAGTGGAGGACCTTGGAGAGGACCTGGTCGTGCAGAGAGTGAACCGCTATGTCAGTGGCAGTCACGGGGAGAGACAATTCATCCACGAGGAGGACCGGCAGGGCCGGTGTGGGATCAACTACAGATGATGGTAACGGGCAACGGCTTAAGGCATCTGCATGGGGAATAAGTTTACCTGGGCAGTGGACTAACATATAGTTATAGGCTGCTTGGAAGGTAGTCCACCAGGACATATGAGGGGACAGGATATTTGGCGTTTGACGGCAACCATCCAAAAGGCCCAGAAGGGGTTTATGGTCTGTGACTAACTCAAACGCCCTGCCGTACAAATACTCGTGGAAACACTTAATAGAGGCTACGGCCACTAATGCCTCCCGGTCAAGCTGACAGTAATTACGTTCTGTGGAGGACAACGTCCTCAAACAGAACGCTATTGGAGCCTCTAACCCATTGGGAAAACGATGGCTCAACACAGCTCCTCTGCCGTATGGGGAGGCATCCGCAGTTAAGACCAGGGGTAGAACTGAACTATACTGCACTAGCACAGCTGACGATGACAATAGGTTCTTAACTGCTTGAAAAGCGCGGTCATGCACCTTTGTCCAAATCCAGGAAACGTCTTTTGATAACAGCCAATGCAAGGGCTCGGCTACGGTAGTGTTGTGGGGTAAAAATACGTTATAAAAATTCAACAGCCCCAAAAAGGATTGTAGCTCAGCGCGACAGGAGGGTACAGGTTCCTGTTTAATTGCCGCAACTTTGGCGGGAATGGGGCGGATTCCTTTAGCATCAACCAAATAGCCCAGGAATTCAATTTGTGGGACGCCAATTCTGCATTTCTTTTTGTTTAATTTGAGGCCAGATTTTCGGAAATGGAGGAGAACTGCTCTTACACGGTCGATGAGCTCACTCCGACAAGAGGCGGAAACGAGCACGTCGTCAAAATAAGGCACCACTCCTGGCAACCCCTGGAGTAACCGCTCCATTAAATTTTGGAATAAGCCTGGAGCTATGCTTACTCCGAACTGCAGGCGCCAGCACTTAAATGCTCCCCGGTGGCTTACTATGGTTTGAGCCTCTGCAGAGGCATCATCCACCGGGAGCTGCTGGTACGCCTGGGCCAAATCCAATTTGGCAAAAATGGACCCCGGACCCAGGGAATGGAGCAAGTGTTGTACTACAGGGACAGGATAGGGATTGGCCTGCAACGCCTTATTTAGCGTACATTTAAAATCTCCACAAATTCTGATAGATCCGTCGGGTTTTATAGGAACTACAATGGGGATCTCCCACCAGGAGTGATCGGTAGGTTCTAACACCCCCTGGGAGATGAGTTTATCTAACTCCGCGTCCACCTTTGGTCTAAGGGCGAATGGGACCCTGCGTGGTTTGAGCCTAATTGGGGCGACCAGGGGTCTAAGTTGAGTGAAATGGGCGACCCCATGTATTGGCCCAGGGAACCATCGAAAATGTCAGAGAACTCATTGAAAAGGTCACCCGAATTACTCACACACGTGGAGTGAATTCCAGATATTCCCAACCCCAGTGAACGAAACCAATCCATTCCCAGTAAACTGGGAAGGAAACCTTTTACGATAATTAAAGGCAGGTCCCCCACAAACCCTTCAGTCTCGATTAGGAATTGACCCTGTCCCAATATTGGGATGACATTACCCTGGTAGTCCCTCAGCTTAACCGGGCAGGGTTTTAACTGCCCATTTTGAAATTTGGGTAGTAGTCCCTTTAACACCCCCAAGATAAAATGGACTTCGCTGATCCTGTGTCCACCTCCATCGGGCAGGAAACGCCCTCGATCTTTACAGTCATGGATACTTTTGCGTTTCTGGATGGCCTGGAATGAGCAGTCACCTCAGTGATATGGTGGTCTCGTGAGACGGAGAAACACTCCTCCTTCGCTGGGCGACGTGGCTTTGGCAATGCAGGGGTTTTCGGTGCAGACCGGCAGGCTCTTGCGATGTGTCCCAACTTTCTGCAACATCGGCAATTCGCTGATCTAAAACGACAGGTTGACCTCGGGTGCTCCTCCCCACAACTGAGGCAGATGGTTTGAGGCTTTTTAAATGATCGCTGCCCTTTATTCCTGGTCTTTGATGCCTGTAACCAGCTAATCTCTGCCTCCTCATCCGAGGTTTTATCAGAGGCGATGTCTTGAGAATTCACTGTGGTTGTGGCCATACGGGAGGGTGGGTAGGACTTCCTTATCTCCACTGTAGACTTCTCAGACATCTCTGCAGCCTGAGCCTCCTCGAGCGCAGTTTGTAGGTCTAGGTTCTTTTTGGCTAACAGGCGCCACTGCAATCTGATATCTGACCCCACACACCAGCTGTTCCACTAGCGCGTCGTCCAGTTCCCTATATTCGCAATCGAGGGCAGCTGTTCTTAAACAAGCCACATAATGAGTAATCGACTCCCCCTCTTCTTGAATGACTTGCCGGAGCTTAAAACGACGGGCAATTCGAGATGGGGTGGGGGAGTAATGTTCCTTAAGTCTTTGCCTCAGGCTATCCCAGGAAGCTGTGTGAACGGGGTCAGGTGCGAATAAAGCCCGAGCAGTTGCAAAGACTTCGGGCCCACAGGAGTTTAAAAAGTGTGCCCTTTTTTTACTGCTGGAAAAGTCTGTGAATTCATTAGCTTCCAAAAAACATTCAAACCTTTCCATATATGCCTCCCACACCTCCATGGTAGCGTCAAAAGGAGTGAACGTCGGCGGCGCCATCCCTTCTCTCTTCCTCTCGCTCTGCCACTATGAGTTAGAAGCGGGGGGGGGAATCTGATGCCATCCTCATCGCCAGTGTTAGATTCCACTAACTTCACACATGAGGCGAGAGAAGTAAGCAAGAGAACTGTTTATTATTAACAACTTGAACCAACCAAAACAGAGAACCCTTTATCAGGGGCTGACAGCTCTTTTATACCCGAGCCGTCAGTCCTATAACCAATCAGATAACTCTAAACTCCCGTGTTATTGTCAGCCCCACCCCTTAACCAATCACCAGGCAGCGTCCCCATTGCCGGGTCGCCGCCGAGACACAGCAATTTCAAATTATTGCCATCTTTTCCTCCATTTCATAATTCATAATTTTGATCTTGCTGTCTTCTATTTTCTTTAGAGCAACGTTTTGCAACCTCATGAACTTTATTTTATGCTAAAGTCCACACATCTAAATATTCATGAGGTTGAAAAATATTGCTCTAGAGTTCTTTTCTCGAAACTTGTCTGCTTTCCTCCAAGGGCTGCCTATGCCCCTTGATAATCAAGCATATGGAATTCACACATTGCAACACATCACCCACAACCTGTCTCTTACATATTTTCAGGAAAAGACAGACATCTGGCTCACAAGATTTTAAT